CCGCGCTCCCACGCTGATCGAGTTAGGTATAGGGGGAGGCGACATTGTCAGATGGACTACCGGTAGGACAGGGAAAGAATGTCTATGGACTAATTGTAAATGCAAAGTTTCTGTGAAGCCGGCTATGTAGATTCTAAACTATGCTTATTCGGTAAACATCATGACAACCAACTTACTGGTATTATCTTTTTCCCTTCTTCTAACAATAGATCATAGATTTCACTTGTCAATTTTTCCTCCATTTTTATAATCTTCTTATAAATAAACTGCAAACACTTCTCCCTTTCTGTTGCATCATCGGTACTGCTGACATGGTTAAAAACTGTCTTGAGTGTACCAACAGGGTCTTCCTTATAAATCTGAGACAAAGTATTTGTAGGGGTATTGTGATCAGATTCATCAAGTTGCAACAGTTGTGCCAGAATATCTGTTACTTTTGGTACATACTCTTTGGAGTCTTTGCATATTGCTGGCAAGACCTTCATTGCACTGATTCTTATCTGAAACATATTCAAAAACATTATTATAATATTAAAACTGAACAATATTATATATTATGGATCCTAATTAATAAATTAGATACGATTTTATAGGCCATAAGCTGTTTCAACTCATTATACAGAGTGTTACCTAATAATTATAAGTAATGGGCATTCCTGAACCAAGTTATAGTAGGAACTTTTATATAAACATGTGTCCTAAAAAGTAAGATAATAAGGGATATAGAGAAACAAATAAAGCTGTATCATAAATCCGAAAAATACATATTTCTTACAAAGTCAGTGGCACACATTTTTTTGTCAATATTAATCGTGAGATGAACCTCGAGATGCCACTGGGATTCATAATTATCTTCTAGTGTTAGCGTCTTAGGGGCCGTCCAAGTATTACGTGAGCACTATGGCGGGGGGCGGGGGGATCTTAGCTTTGCTTATTTTGGATTACATGGGGGGTAGGGGAGTCTAGATGATGATTACGTCATCGGTAGTTATTTACTTTTTTACACGAATGGCAACCCTCACATTGTCTTTGCTTGAAAACGAAACGCATTTTCGGGGATTCCCGCAAATAATGCATACGTTTAGTGAACAGCGCGCGGTAATTCCCCTACTCGCTTTAGAACCGAGTAGGGGAATTACCGCGCGGTGTTCACTTGTCTAAATTTCCTCTATCAGTGTATTGTTTCGTTTGGATACTATAGCGAGTAGACGTATTGTAAGCATAGTAAAGCAAGTTAACATTTGTGTTACCATTGATTTCATTAGCCAAAGTTTAATGTTTAAATCAGATGTCGTTTCACATAGACAAATCCAAGTTATACCAAAAATTGAAAGTTTTAAAAAATCTCATACAAGTACGAAAGTACAAAATGTACAAAAGTTAGTTAACGAAGTGTGGCGAAATTACAAATTACAAGCAAAATCCGACAAGGAACTAGATATTATTGTATCTAAGAGAATCGAAGAAGAATTGCAAGCGGCGACTAAGAATAAATCCAATCTACTAATTTTTTTGTCTAAGGTGAGTGACGAAATCATTTTAGGTACCTATGAGTACTAGAAATATTAGAAATCGCCAAAAAGTTTCTCTTTACTGATTAGAAATATTATGGCCTATCTCAAAGTATAGAGGTAATATTCATTATATTATAGATTTATTCCTTATGATTGATTCCGTCAATTGGTCACAAAGAACAGGATGTTAGTTTTATACATATATACAGAAAACTAACACCCTGTATTTTGTGACCGGAACGAATACCATCTGTTTATGCTGGTATCAAAATCACTTTCAATATGCTAGGACAACCGCAAGCCGTTGGATATTCTGGACCAACATACATCGCTATTCGAAGTGGAAAGCATAGTTCATCTACTGCTAACTCATGCTCATGATTTCGAGACGCTTCTCGAACATGAAGAGTTTCGACTATTAGCTAAAACTGACCATGGACTAGTAAAACCAGTAGTAATCATGAAGGTTGATGGAGGGCCAGATGAAAATCCACATTATCAAAAAGTCATAGGGTTTGCTATACAACACTTTAAGCGACATGATCTCGATGCATTGTTTTTAGCTACCAATGCTCCTGGAAGAAGTGCGTATAACAGAGTAGAGCGCAGAATGGCTCCTCTTAGTCGGGAACTGGCTGGTTTAATATTGCCTCATGACCATTTTGGATGAACGTGGCGTTACAATTGATGAACATTTAGAAAGATCTAATTTCGAATTTGCAGGAAATGTATTAGCTGGAGTATGGAGTTCAGTGGAAATTGATGGCTATAATGTTAATACAAAATATGTTGGGGCAGGTGAGCAAGATCTTCCTGATTTTCCAGACATTAAATGGTATTCAGAACATGTGCGTGAGAGCCAATACTTGCTTCAAATTGTAAAATGTAGAAATACAGAATGCTGTCGTCCAAGAAGTGGCCTATTTAGATTACAATAGGTTTCTTCCACCACCTGTAAAAGTAAAACAAACAGTTGATGACTTGGTTTTGGATGAAGGAGGGCAATTTCTTAATCTTCCAGTCAATTTAGCTCTACGCTTAAGTGCTTCACTCAAAGATTTCCTGCAAATGCCCTACGATTATTTTTGTCCGACGGTAAAATTGAGGCTATCAAGTCGAACATGCAAAACGTCTTTATCATGCTTCCGTCAAGTCACTAAATCGTCTTAGAAACCGAACTTTTTAAGACACATGCTTTATATGGACTTTTATACATTTATGTTCAGGACTGCGTTCTTGTAATTAGACATTTGTCAAAAACAGGAAAAGGTTATTGGACGTAGAACCGCAACTCATTTTAAAATTAACATCCAGAGAACCAAATTATGACGATCTCATCCCAGCACATTCAATTTAATGCTTCGCGTTAATCGAAACAGATGCAACTTTTACTTATGTTGTATAATGATATATGTATGTAATTATAATGAATATATATATATATATATACGAGAGCGGTAGAATTTAATTATATATATATGCATATACATATACAGGGTGTTCACTTGAAACTTGCCAACACGGATTTATCGAAAACCACCGATTAAAAGAAAAAACGCCGAGACACGTCAAAAAATGGTCAAGGTGGACATCTTTTTAACCAAAAACTACTTCGATCACTTTCACCCTCTGCCCACCAGGGTCATCCCTTACAAATTTTAAATGACAAGGGGTATCGAGTAATAGCTTGTTTGAAAGGTCTTTCAAAGTTCTTTATTTTGTAGGTTGATTTTTTAAAATGGGTCGATTCGTTTTCAAGAAAAATATATAAATCTTTATTCATCTTTGTTCATGTAGAAAACAAGAACACCTGAAAATATCACTTTTTATTTCAATTAGTGTTCAAAATGTTGCCAGTTATTGGCCAAACCATGATAAAGGTGATGTTCAAATTCTTGGCGGACATTTTCAAAAACATGTTGCCCGTTAGGGTTTGCCAAATCTACAATTCGTATATAATTTAAAACGGAAACAACCAACATAAACCAGCAATTCGGAAGATTAGACGTGGCATTAACCAACTAACAACCCGACTTTTTTACATATTCTTTTCATATCCTGGCCGAACTGTATTTATTGTTATACCTGCTTAGCTATAGTCAACGCCAAACAAAGTGGCGTGCACGTCATCAAGGTGGGTGTGTTGAAAAATTTACATTGTTGCCAAACTTTTTGTAAATAATAAAATTTATTATTTACATATCTAGGTTTATAAGCAATATTAACCTCAAATGAGAAAAAAAATAATAGTATAATAAAATTATAGATCTGTACTTGCATAATCATTAAGTATGACAATTATTGATCAGATGACACTATGAAACTACCATATTTAATTGATAGCTTAAAGGTACTG